TGTGCTTATTCTTATATATATATATATTTATCACAATTAATCTGGTAAATGTTTTAATGATTTATTTATCTATATATATATATATAAGATATAATATATATATATACTATTATATATATATATATATATATATATATATATATATATATATTATATCACACAACCAGTCGGATATAGATAATATCTGTTCGCAATCGAATCGTAAAATGAAAAATTTCACCACCCATTTTAATCAATCTACATATATTTTAAAACTCACGATATTCATAAATATTAAAAAATATATATCTAATATATTTTTAAATAAAACTTAAATAAAATTAAAAAATATATAAAATTTAATATAAATAAAATAAAATATAAATTAAAATTAATTTTAATTAAATTAAATTAAATAAAATATAAATTAAATGTAAATTAAATTATTATTTTTACTTTTTCGAATAACAAGTATTCACACTATCATACATCTATTCAATCAATTTATAAATAATATTAAAATACTTGTTATTCGGTTTTTTTCATGTGGAGTGAATTATTTTGTCATCCATGTATATATATATATATATATTGGGTCATATGACTCTTTTAAATAGATGTGCTTGTTGTGTTTAATTTTCTATTATATATATATATATATAATACTTACAAAGTTAATCAAATTTTTTAATACTAATGGAGAAAATATTTTTCACAACCATAAAATGTCCAATGTTATACTTATAATTGACATTAAAACTAAAAACAGACATGAATTTACCTGTGTTAATTTTGTAATAAACGTAAATTTACATTTTTTTTTCAATTGGAACATAAATTTTGTATATCAATTTAAAAAAGAAAAAAATTATTTGCGTTTATGAGTTTTATATAATATATGTAAATTGTAACATCCCAATAAATAGTAATCACCATTAATCAGAACTAATCACATTTACAGAAAATACAGTGCAGTCTTAAAATAAATAACAGTGCTCAAAAAGAAAAGCACGTTATAAAAATAAAACAGGACTGTACAGTACATTACGAAGATGCTCACATTTAAAACTGAACTTGCAGCACTTTTACAAGTGTTCAGAAACTCATCAAAAATATAAAACAGTTCAGTATTAACAATTCTGCAAAACTATATACAGAACTGTCAAAAAGAAGTACAGAACTAAATCCTAAAAACGCTCGGAAGGCCTCTATGTCGGCTTTAATTCAACTCTCCGAGGTTGAAATCCTCCAAACTTTTCTTATTCCAGCAGGGTTCAATGGGGTGCCTCCCCATCTGCTCACATCCACAACGGATGATCATTGCATTGACAAGACGGACATACAGAAACAATAGACAACACAAGGAAATTGCAAGGGTAAGCTTAGGTAATTTAATTCAATAAAATCAACATAATTTAACTTATAAAATCAAGTCATACAAAATCATAAAATATTAAAACAAATATCAAAGCAAACATTAACGCATCCAAATTCTCATAATTAAAGACTGTCCGGAAGTATGATACATGGAATCTACAGGCGTTATTGCCCCGGTGATGTGCCGGGTGATGTAGTAACGGGATACCCTCAAACAGCTGCCACCCGAGGTTAACCCTTATCAGCCCCAAGTACTATAAGGGCTAGGGCTCTGCCATTCACGCCATGAAATACTCTCCTTCTACATGAGGATGAGCAATCACGGAATATCAGGATGAACAGCCATCAGTAGCTTAATCCATGGTCATACTACACTACTTCTCATATTCACAACATGGAGACGTTCCTCCTTGGAACGCTCTTTCATAATCCAATCCAATAAATCCATTCCAAATACCATTCGCACATATCACAATTATCTGTATTCAATTTTTCATTCTGGTTCACTCTCTTTATTTTTATATTAGAAGTTCATCACTCAAAAATAGGACGAAATATTACCATTTCTTGCTCCCAATCACAGCCACACTGGACCATCCCCGCACCTAGTGTCAACAAAAGAAAGAACGTACCATTTTTATACTTAACTACATTACAACCTAATAATTTGAAGACAATACTGATCTTCAGAAGAGATGGGTAATACTTAGAAAAAATCTTAAATAGAAAAGGGGACTCCAGGTTAGCAATCCAAAGAAGGGAGTAAAGCCATAAGAAATATTTAATAAACAATCAAATATAATTGAATTCAGAAAACAACACCGCCAGTCAAAGATCCGAACGTTAATTAAACAATTGACGACAAAACGCCATATCACCGTTCGCTCCCGAAGCAATAATAAGACGAGCGTTCAATTATAAGCAAACATGCTCAGGAGCGAACGGCCAGGTCAATGGACCGAACCAAGAAATAGAACGAACGGCCATAGGAACGAACTGTGCATGGAAACGAACAAGCATGGGAACGACAAGTTCAGTATTCAGACCGAACCGCTAACTGGGACGAACGGCTTCAATCTACGATTTGAGAGTTCATTTGGACGAACGCTCAGTATAATACTAACGCACTTATGACGAACGCTGGTAAACAAAACCGAGAGCCGTCCTAACTTATACTTCCTTTATATTTTTACTGGTTGGACCCGCCTAGGCTAAACCGAACGCTCACATAACTCTTAAAACCAACAACGCTGTTTCGATCAGCGGTCATTTCCAAATGAAAAAAGAGCCTTATTCTAAGTTGATATTGACAGGGAAACCGGTCATATGACTCTTTTAAAATAGATGTGCTCTTGTTGTGTTTTTGTTTTCTATTATAGTGATTTAACTATATTTTGTCTGTTATTTTATTGTACTTTTGTATGTGTGTAACTTTTGTACTAGATGTAGAAGGATCAAAACAATAAGAAAGGTAAATTATTTGAAGGTCCTACATGTTGTGAAGGAGCAGAAAGCAATAAAAGGAGTCCACCGAGTTTTGAATGGTAGACAGAAAGAAAGGTCCACAGTGCAAATATGCCATTATTTGGTTGGTTATGAGAATTCACGTGTTTTCAATATCCAAATACAACCTTATTTACATAAATGCTATTTGTAATAAATATGCAATTTCCATTTAATAAAGTGTTAAGTATTTTTAAATTTGATGGTTGGTCTTACAGAGCTTTTCTATATTTAATACTGAAAATATTTTATATTTTTATTTATCCTATTATTTGATCTGGTAATAAATGAGATGATGGTACATTTATTATTGTCAGAAAAATGTAAATGAAAAAAAGTAGGACAGTTCATCATAAAATGAAAGAGTAAAAAATAAATTCAATTCAATTATTTTCAAAAATTATGTTTCTTTGTTAAATTAAATTACATACTTATTTAATATCTGTGTTTCATAAAAATTGTGTAAAATACTTTTATTATATTAAACATATTTTATGTGATGTTTATGATGAAGAATGTTATTCATAAAAATAAAATAAACATATTGTACAATCAGAAATATAAATTTTATATTCTTGGTTATACATTTCAGAATACAAAAAACAAAATACATTATGCTGGAATAAAAAATTTGTAATCCAGATCCTACAATCTATAATACAAATTTATATTCCATGTTTATGCATTTCATAATACAAATTTTGTATTTCAGATTATGCATTGTGGAATACAAATAATAAATGTATTTTGAATTATTAAATCCGAAATGTATATTTGAATAAGATAATAGGTACTTTTGACATTTCTCGTACCTTATGGAGATGCAGGAAGAAACTATGGAGGAAGAAATAGTTACCAAATAGATGTCAAATGCAAGAAATGATAATCCAATTACATATTTCAGCAGATTGTACCTGAAACGATAGCATCTGGTATAACTGACAAGTTAATCTGATTTTCTATCACAAATGAATTAAAATGAAGTAAAGAAAAGTGCTTGTTGTAACATATTCTTACTATCGTTTAAAATCTATAAAAAAATCACAAAATCTTGGATAAAACTCAATAAATAAAGTAGGAGCAACACAATTTTGTGATTTTCAATAAATTTTTGCCAACAATAAGAGTATCCTTAAAGAATGTGGCTAAAAGTATGTTGCCAACATTTTCAATGACTAAATTAAGATTTCCAATTGGATTCTGACACAGATGCTTCTAAGAAATAAGACTGAATAATACTTCCATGTCTTTTTTTGTTTCATAGAAGTTATTAGAAGAATACTCACCATGATATTTTAATTATGAACCAGGCCAAGAATTTTTGTCATCGTTTTCATCATCGAGGATGAGTTTGACACCATTGTTCTTGAGAGCATTCATAACAGCCCAAACCTTGGTTTGGTTCTTAAATCCTTTCTTCCCTACTTCTTTACCTATGTTTGCATGAATCCCTCTTCCTTCTCCTTCATTGAGGCCCTCAACTTTGAGCCGCCTAGCCAATACCTCTCCAACAACAGTAGCTGCTTTAGCATTGCAGGACCTGCCACACTCAAGTGACCCTTTAATGGTATGTTCTGCTGTGGATGATGTTGCTACAATTCGACCATTGCTTCTGTCTACCACGTTTGCAGTGATATACTTCAATGATATGAACAATCTCAGAACATATCGCTTCATAACCGGCATTTTCAGTTGTCTGATAGAGGATGGAAAACCAAGAATGAAAGGAATACAATTATTTATTAATATGAAAGAATTCTTATGGTTAAAAGACAGATGCAGCCTTCATGTCTGAATAAAATCTTAATTCAGGATTACTAAGAGCTGCAACATACTGGTGTAAGTAATTACTCAATTAATTTCAAGATAACATGATATCATAGAGTCATTGACGTGTAACATAACTTGGTAGATAATAGGCCTTCATTCGTAAGTTGTAGATGACTACAGGCATGATTAACTTCATATTTAAACCTCCAATAGTCCATGTTGAAAACAAATTACTCTGGAAATTATGCTATAAATGGGGTTTCATATTTTGGAAATGATGTAAGCTTGGTTTGGAATTTAAAACAAACAGACACTACCATTCCTACATCATTATTTCGAAGACAAACCCCCACAAATTTAAAGGGTCTTGCATAATAGGATGACACGTGGAGGTGGTTTTATCAGTGGTTTGAGTTCAATAAAGAAAACGAAAGACGTGATGTTTTATATGAAAACAATTGTCCATTACTTTCTTCAATGATTTGAAAAACTACCTTAACAGACCCCATTTCTTGCACCTTTGGAAGCAGGTAAAATTTCACATGCACGTACAACAAAGAGGAAGTAAATTATTCAAGAGTGTAAAATTTACCTTTTATTTTTTCCATGTTAAATACAAAAATCATTGGTTTTCTAATATATGAAATTAGTATCTTAGGCACTGTTTACAATTCCATTTCCCACAACTATGAAGAAGAAGAAGAAGAAAAAGACTGAACAAGTAAAAAGTTTCAGTGGTTGTTACATTAGGTACCCAATTCAATTAGCTTTACTTTCAAACTATCTTATAATCTTATGTAGGAAAAACCTCTCCAGGACAACAAGTCATTTATTGAAAATTATATAGAGCGCACATAAACCCATAGTCATTAAGATACGAAAATTCATGAGCATCTTGGAAAGGTGAGTCACTATACCCTAACAAATTCCTACCAAGTGCAAGACACTGCTTTACCAACAGGTTTTCTCCAATGCGATGGCTTATTAATGATCTGTACATCTTAAATTATAAAATCAAATATTTTGATTAACAGAAATCTATAATACCATGTACAATACCTCTTGTTGGTTGTTGGTAGGTATTTGTGGTATGTCTAAGCTTCCGACAAATGCAGTTCAAATTAAACGTTGTTGTATCGAGCTTCCTTCAACTTCATTATCAGCTCCAGCATGGAGTTAAAATGCAGTATAGAAAGATAGGGACTTCAGCATTGATCTACAACATACACAACACAAACAGTAAAAAAAATTGTAGTTTCTAAGTATTTATTCAAATTCTAAAGGATGGCAAATATGTTAAAAGGACCAGCACCGTGCATGCTATAGACAAAGCTGAAGTAGAGGTACAATTTAAGTTCAATCGAATGCAACATTTCATCAAACAGATTATGTGCTGTATGAAAACAGACTACGAAACATAGTTTTCAAGCTCGCAAGTTAACCTTTAAAACCATATGAGTTTTCGTTCGTGCACATAGCTTCCGAGAAGCAAACTCGTTTCTGGAGCATACTCGGTGGACTCGCCATGAACTCACCCAAATTAGCGATCTTGCAATCGAGTTGACGAGTT